TTTTGACTCTTGATTTGGACTGACGGAACTTTTTTGGTTGTGGAGAACTGGCTGACTTCTATTGTGCACTTTGACACTTTGTTTCAGGGTCGTATTGGTACAGGCATGTTTAATCACCAGTGATAACACAGCCCAAAACATCGTCTTGCCTCTCCAAAAGGTCTTGGCAAACTTCGACTCTCCTTTGCTTTTGTTCATCGGTGAACTCCTTAGGGACCACTTTCGCACACACCTTTCTCATGCCAAGATTTTCAGTTAAGATTTTCCTGTTTCTCTATCGATGTTTACTTGGTCTGCTATGCTTCTCACAGTCAGTCAACAATTTTGACGCATGGTTTGATGAATTTTTACAATGTTTTCATTAGATCTGTTCATTACTGGCCTCCCTGACCTCTCTTCATCAGTGACACATTCTCTCCCTTCAGTAAAATGTTTAATCCCTTTGTACGCTGCCATTTTCTTCATGGCATTATCCCCATAAACTTGGACTAACATGTCCCTGATTTCACTTACACTCTTGCTAAGTTTAACAAGAAATTTAACGTTTGTTCCTTGCTCTAATTCAAGCTCAGACATTCTTGCGATGGCACACAAAAACATGCACAACAATAATGAACACCACTCAGCAAGACACCATCACACGTCAACATGAACACAGCTGTGAGACACTGATACACCAAGGTTATGAAACCTTCCCGAGCTGTTTGTACAGTGCTGTCAATGTAGGCACACAGTGGTAAGTTCATGAACTTAATTGTCAGATCTTCATGTAAATAATCAGTTACATAAGCAATCACATGATGCATGATATGCCATCATTAAAGCGAGGGCGTGAGCAGTAACTGGAAGGAGAAAACATTCACAAGCCTATATTCTAATTTTCCATTGCAAATAACATATCATCTATGTTAAATCTAATATATTTTCATAAATAAAGAATGTTACTCTTCTAGATTTAAGGAGAAAAAGAAGGAAATTGGACCTGGCAGGAGGTGCTTGAATGGTTTGGGGGTGTCTCTGAACACTGAGACCCTTTGTGTGTCCAGGGAAGTGGAGTGCTCAGCAAACATTTCCAACCCCCCAGAGAGCCTAAGACAGAGAAACGAACGGATTGATTAATTCCAATTTTCTATGAACACAGGAAAGAAGCTGTCTTGCCCATTAGCGCAGGAAGGAAGCAGCCCCTCTAGCCATTCCCCACTGTCCTTAGAGTCACATCCAAGTCCCTATCCGTTTGCCTCAACCTTCCCCTTCCACCCGGGCCTCTTGCTCACCACACCAGCCCTTTTGCCCTTCTTCAAATGTGCCAACCTCACTTTGCCTCAGAGCCTTGGCACTGCCCGTTTCTTCAGCCTGGAACACTCTATTCCTCTCTTCCCACAGCTACTCATATCATTCGAGTCTCAGCTCCAACGTCACTTCCTGCACCCACCTCCCTGACCTCCTGTATAAAGTGGCTCACCTTCCCCAGCCCTGCTCCTTTCTCCAGCTCACTAATTATTTTATCCCCTTCATTGCATTTGTCATTATCTGAAATTATCTCATTTGTTTTTCCCTTGAGTATTGTCTGTGTCCCCCACCAGGACACAAGCCCATAGTCACAGGCACTGTGTCACCTTGCTCACAGCTGTACCCCATGCCAGACATGGGTGGACAAGAGCCAGTGTATTAGTCAGAATAGGACGGGCCATGCTGCTGTAACAAAGGCTCCACCACATCGCAGTAGCTTCACACAATAAAGGATGGTGTGTGCCTCCTCGCACACCACAGTCCAATGCAGGCTGGGTGGCCCTGTCTCATTTTGTAGCTGCGCCAACTGGGACATGTGGTTTCCAAGGTCACTGTGGCAGGGAAAGGGAGAGAGGCAGGGGATACACTGGTTCTTAGCTGCCTCATCCAAGAGGTGACACATGTCACTTCCTTTTACACAGATCATTACATAAAACTAGCACACAGACCCAAATTAGGAGCAAGGGAGGCTGGGATATGGAAGGGAGGAGGAACACATGAATATATAATGAGCTTGAAATGTCTGTGTCATACCAGGATCCACATCACAGCCCAGGCTCTGCAACAGAGACACCCCAAAGGGTGTCCTGTAGAAAGAATCATCCAGAATGATGAGAGAAACTGAAGCAGTTCGGAGCTGCCAGGATCCAGCCACACCTGCGTCCATTGCACAGTAGCCTCTGTTTGTCCCTGCTCCCTGCATTCCCCGGGATCTTGCCACAGGGACCCCCCCAGAACCTCCTACTTCCAGGTCCTCATGGTTTCCTCATGGGACAGACTGAGCCCACCCAGGCTGGCTCCCAAGTCTTGGCCACTGGCCCCAGAGCACTTCTGTCCTGGCCTTGGCTGTCCCCACAGCTGACCAAATGCCTTACTTGGAACGCAGTCCAGGCCAGCTGCTGCCACATCTGTCCTGTATGCTGCTGCTCTAGCTGCAGGGCTGGGAAACCCCATAACCAGCAGTGCACTCAAAGGGAGAGGGAGACATGCCCTGGGCAGGTCGCCAAGGCCACTCAGGGCTCTGGCTGCAGCTCCAGGTGAGCTAGCACCTTCAGGGTCTTGAGACCCCCACCCCAGGGCTGCCTACACCTGTGTTTAGCACCACGTGCCTGGTCAAGTTCAGAGGTAGGGTACAGCAGGCAGTCCCATTTCAGGACACCAGCTTTCAGGACACCAGCTATAATTCAAATCCAAATGTCAATTCATTACAAATATTAAATCACCCATTAGGAGGGCTACCATCAAAGATAACAAGTGTAGGCGAGAATGTGGGGAAATTGGAACTTTTGTGCCCTATTGGTGGGAATATAAAATGGTGCAGCCGCTGTAGAAAACAGTATGAAAATTCCTCAAAGAATTAAAAATGCAACTACCATATGATCAGCAATTCCACTTCTAGGTATAGACACAAAAGAACTGAAAGCAGGGACTGAAACAGATACTGTGCACCCAGGTTCATAGCAGCATATTCACAACAGCTACAAGGTGGACACAACCCACAGTCCATTGATAGATGAATGGATACACAAAGTGTGGTCCATTCATGCAATGGAATATCATTTAGCCTTAAAAGGAAGGACATTCTGACACACGCACAACATGGAGGAGCCTTGAGGACATTATGCTGAGTGAAATAAGCCAGTCACAAAAGGCAAATACTGTATGATTCCACTTATATGAGGTTCCTGGAGACGTCAATCACAGAGACAGAAACTAGAATGAAAGTTTCCAGGGGCTGGGGGAAGGGAACAGGGAGTTAGTGTTTAATGGGGACAGAGTTTCAATTTTGCAAGATGAAAAGAGTTCTGGAGATGGATGGTGGCGATGGTTGCACACCAATATAAATGTATTATACTTAATACCACTAACCTGTACATTTAAAAATGGTGAAGATGGCAAATTTTATGTTATATGTATTTTACCATAGCTAAAACATTTTTTAATTAAAATAAAAAAAATCTGTTGGAAAAAATAAATTAAAAATTCAGTTCTTCCATCACACCAGCCACATTTCAAGCACTCAAGGGCCAGGGTGGCTGGTGGCTGTTGAATGCACAGGGCAGCCTGAGAGCGTCTCCTGCAGGGCAGAAAGCTCTATCAGACAGCGCTGTTCAGGAAGCACCTCCCTCCTCACAAACTCACGCTTCCTCCATCCCCATCCTCCCCAGGACCATCAAACGGCTCCGGCTCCGTGTCTTAGCTCAGCCCCGGGACTCTCCTGGGTGTGCGTGCTGCCCTGAACGAAGACACAGAGCCTTAGGGGGTGTTAATTGTCAGGGCCACGCAGACCCCAAGGCCCACTCCACCTCCTTCAACCACACTGCACTCAAGGTGGGAGGCGGAGGTGCAGACTCCCACTGTGTCTCCCTGAGCCCAGGTCTGTCCCCAGGCCCTTGCCTCTGTAGGACCAACTACAGTGCCTGGGACAAGCACACATCCAACAAACACTTGCTGGATGCCACAGGCAAAAAGGCAAGGCCCAATTCCTCTTCCTCAGCGCCTCAATTTATCTCCTAAAATCCTGTTTTGTTATAATAAAATTTGTTCCAATTTAAGAATTTTTATATTTCTCGTGCTTTTCAATAAACTAACCAAGCCACCCCATTATCCAAAGTTAAGGTACAGTTGGATCATGAGGGTGTAAATGTGTAAACTGAAGTTAACTGGCAAAACCAAGAGAAAGTTCTAGACTTCTTCCTACAGGCTCATGGGTACAAGGTGTGTGCCAGTGGGGCCCTGCACGTCAGGGAAAAGGAGGATTTGCTCCACTAGCTTCTGGAAGAATTCACCAGGGATATTCCAACTTCAGAGTCCTTGGGGGTAGGTACTTCTAGATGTGCTGTCACTAAATTGAATATCGCCACCATCACGATAGCAAAACCACATTTTATTTAGAAACTGAAAGACACATTGACCTCCATTATCTCATTTAATCCTCATGACAACCCCTGAGATAGAAATTATTGACCCATTTTAAATCCTCTCTTCAATCTCCAATTCCTCTGACTACCTCAGGGGGAAGCCTTAGGTAGGTATCAGTCTGTCCCTCTCCCTGTCTGTCTGATCTCCCTTTTTAACAGAGTGGCTGCGGTTGAGTCGGCAGAAGGCAGACCTATCTAGTTGGGGTTGAATAACATCGCTTTACATTTTACTTTTAGGTTATCTTTACACCAAGTGAGGTTTCCTTTGTAAATAATTTTAAGTCTTAAAAAAGTCAGTTGATTTATGAGAAAATGCACAGTCCAGGTACCATGCAGGTGTGGCAAAAATCAATTGCCTCAGTGTGGAAACAGCCTTGCCAAGGCAGAATTCCCCCAATTTGCAGATGAGAAAACTGAGGTTCATTGTGATCAATGGGAAGGTCACCTTTTGTCACCTGTGGATCCACAGAGCTTCCCTGTAACCACATCACTCACCCCAGGCACACCGGAAACAGGAGAGAGCACAGGTGCCCTGGCCCACCTGTGCCCCTCCCCGCCTGCCCCACTTACAATGTTCATGAGCGTGAGCAGGTACTTCTGCACGTGTTCCTTGCCATGGAACTGGACCACAGAGTCGTCCACACCCAGCAGGACTTCGATGTTGTAGTCGTCGTCGTCGGCCGCATGCCTGCGTGCCCTGGGCCTTGAGCTGTTGACACGTTCCTCCAGGATGCCCAGGCTGCGGCTGAGGCTGTCCAGACTGCCCAGGGAGGCCCCTGGAAAGACAGAGGACACAGCATGCTGCAGCAGCCGGGCTCACCAGGGACATGGCAGAGTGGGACAAACCCCCTCCCAGCGGTGCCACTTGGCACTTGCTTTGCCCCAGCCTGGCCATCTTGCTGAACACTAGCAGCACTCTCAAATACAAGACATCCTTGTCCCATTTTACAGAAGAACAAACTGAGCTTAGGAGAAGTCATTAGTGATGTACCAAGTCAGTTAAAAACCAGCAGCACATAAGCCAACACCTTGGCCATCGCGGAACCCAGGCCTGGCACCCAGCGATGAACAGAGAGGCCGGGAAGCTGTGCTGCCCAGCCGGGAGTGGGTATGGGCAGCCAGCTCTTTTCACCCAATCACACACTTGAACACTAGAGAAGGGCTGCCCAGGTGCCCAAGGGCTGGTCTCCCAAGTGTGGCCACCCTTGTTATAACTGGGGAAACTGAGGCTCAGCCCAGATGGTGTGTTTCCCACAGCATCTCCTCGGGCAGCTCTCTTTCAGAACTTCCTGCTCAGTCCTCCATGGAAGCAAGGCCCCTCGTCTCTGGGCCAGGTCCACCTACCCCCGCTTCACAGTCGAGACCTCCCGGGGGCGCCCCTCTAGGTAAACTGTGCCTGTCCCTGGTCCTGAGACGAGGAGGTGGGCAGTTGCCTGACTGAACTGTGCAGAGACCAGGTCAAGCCCTTCTCATGACAGCTCACTCATAGTCTGCCTGAGCAGGGGCTTACCTCCAGCCCCCACAAACTTGGCACCTAGCCTGGGGTGGGGAGTGGGGCCTATGGGGCCTTGGCTGAGAGGTCCAGGGGCCTGGAGCCCCATCAGGTCCAGGGCCCTAGGATGTTGTCTTGCCATCTGAAAAGCTTTACTGCTGCCTTGGTTCCCTTTTCCTTTCCAACTGGGCCTGGGTCCAGCCCTGGATGGGTCCTTGACCTCAGGGTCCTGCTTCTCCTTGGCATTTCCTCTGTGTGAGGGGAGGGGTTATCAGAGACTCCTGCCTTTGGAAGGACCTTGGACCTCAGGTTACCATGATATTCACCAACCCAGGGGCGGTGTCCAGGCCATGTGGCTCCTGCAGCTGAATGTGGGGCTAATGGCCCAGATAAGCGGTCAGTGCCCTTGCAGACACCTCCCTAAAAGTTTTCCAGAGCAATTCTCACTTGGCCCCAAAGGCTCTAGTCTGCTGCCTCCTCCAGACAGGGACAGGAACTCCCTGCACATCACAGTGTCACACAACAGGCCCTGGAGGCAGAACAGGGCTTCTGAAAGCAGCATGGCTGCTGGTGGATAGACAGGGCCAATGGCCACAGGTCCGGCTGTATCACTCAGCCCTGTGCAGATGTCCCCTCACCCAGTGTTGACAAGGGGTCTCGCTGGTGTGCATTACTGTTCCCATTTTATAGACAGGGGGACTAATGGAACCCCCAGCATGGCTCTCAGATAGGAGCTCTCTCCTTAACGCCTGCTGTGTTAGGTTTGAGGCACAAACCAGCACCGGGCCGCAGCACAGAGAACAAGAAGAAAAAGTGGGGTGCAGGAAGTGCAGGAGGAACAGAAGGGGGGCCTTCACAGAAAGAGAAGTGAGTTGGGCCAGGGCTGAGTAGCTGCTAACGTTCAGTATCTCCTGGGGTCCTTGTGCCCCACCCTGCCCTGCAGGCCCCTGTGCACCCCCGAGACACACACACACACACACACACACACGCATCTCCTTCTCCCCCTGCCCCCCCCCACGCACACGACATGGCAGGCGTTCCCCAGGGCTTCCCGGGAGGCGGGCGTGTGACCAATCCCCCCACTGGGCTGCCTGGAGATGATTCAGGGCCATCCTTCCCAGTCCCAGAGTGGAGGCCGGCTACTTAAGCCTGACAGGGAGTTTGAGGAATTGCTACTCTATTTTTACACATTTATTTCTTTGCATTTTCAACAAGCAGGGACAGCTCACCTTTAGAACCACCTTGGGAAGCAGAAAAATGGTAATTTCCATAAGAAACTCCTCCCTGGGGAAGAGGCTGGACGTTACCCTCTGCCAGCGGTCACTAATGGGTGGTTCCTGGGCAAAACTAGCCCACAGAGGTGCTTGTTAGGGCCACGTGGTGTTTAAAAAATAACTTACTTTATTGACAGTATTTTAAAATTGGGAGATTTCTCACTAAACAAAACCTAGAATAGCCAGCTTCTCTGAGGAATTAGGAGATGGGGTCACAGTGTAGGCGGGTGGAGGTGAGGAATACTGGGTTGTGGGGTAACAGTCACACCTGGTGACAGGACACACAGGACCATATCCCCAGGCCACCTGGACTGTTGCCCTCGTTGCCCTTCTGGCCCCTGAAAGCATCAGAGTGCCCCCTGACCCTTTGTGGGGAGTCACAGGTCAGTGACCCTTCCTGACATTCCCTGTGGGAAGGTGAGGGGGCTGCCATTGGGCTAGAGCTGGTCAGGCCATATCTTGTAGCTGCTTCTGCCAAGAAAGCATGGTTTTTCATTAAATTGCATGTTACAGGTCCACTACAAACAATGTTTTCTAAAGATGCATTAGAAATGTTAATCTCACTTCAAGCATAATTATTATTATAATTATTTTAATCATGATTATTTCGGGGGGTCACTTGGACATTATGTTCTAGAACACCCCAGACCCTGTAGAGATGCCCCAAAGCTGAGGTCAAAGTTCAGATGAAGAGGTGACAGGTCTCAGGGCTCCCAGCAGGTGACAACCCACCCTGCCGTCCTGCCCCTGGAAGCACTGGCTCTGCTCAGGCCCGGCAAGATACAGGGAACCGCCCCAAAGTGAGTGGGTCTGTCAGACCTGGGGCCACATGAGTGTTGATGGGACCCAGCAGCCAAGTTGACGTTCCACCTTATCAATCTTGGATGTCGTTCAGTTTCCCTACAGTGGGCTTGATCCTGAAACCTAGGCCATGCAGAGACCCCAACCACACCTTGGTCCTAGCAGGCCTGTCTTTTAAACCAAGTCCTGCTGCAGGAAACTCAGGCCAGTGGCCGGCTCCTGCCTGGTCCTGCATCAGCTGCCAAATGATCCCCTGACACCGCTGGGGCTGTCCACCTGCACTGCGTCACCTACCTGGGCTAATGGCTTCTGCTCCTCTGGGTCCCTTGGGGCCCAGATAGGGTTCTTTGCTACTCTCCCCTCATCCCTGGGGAGTTCCTGCGAGCTCACAGCCAGCCTGCTAAGCACAGTGGCATGGAGTTCACCCAGCCCTTTGCTCCAACCCTTGTTATTGGCCCAGGTCCAGATAATGAGCTGTCAGCACTGCCTATCTCTTGCTGCCTTCTGTGTGTAGCCTCCATCATGAGCAGAAGTCACTCCCCCAGGCGGCTGCTACTGGCAGATGGGGAGGGTGGACCCTGTGGCCAGGTGTCCTCAAGAGGAGCATCTATGGCAGGACCCTATCATTTCAGTGGGTAAGCACAAGGACTTATGTTCCTGGCATCCCCTGTTTTGGGAGACATTTCTGGAAGGCAGCTAAGGCTCTTTTTGCTCATGTCTCAGGCAAAGCATGATACAGCAGGCAGCTTCCAAGAGCCGTCCCCAGTTTAGTCTCTAGAAATTGGACAGGATCCTCAGAGTTGATCAGCACTGGGGAGAGGACAGGCTGAGGGAGCAGAGCTGCGTCCAGAGAGATGAGCAGGTCACGGTGGACAAGCTCATCCTCAGCCGCTGAAGCACAGGCCCGCACCCGCTCCACCCCCGCATCTGCGGTGGGCAGGGCGTGTGCACAGCCCTTCACAGTGACAAAGCTCCGCCAGTCCCAGCAGCCATCCAACTCCACAATGAGGAGGAAGCTCCTCGTTGTCCTCATTACTGTCCCATTTTAGCATCAAGGAACCCCAGCAGCAGAAAGATGAAGTGAGTTGGACAAGCCACACCACAGAGGAGCCAGGATCCTGCCCAGGCCCTGGGATCCAGCGTTGCTGACACGGCCGGGCGGGCGCTGTACACCAGCACCAATGGACATGAGGGAAACCTAAATTGGTAGGAACAAGCATGTTTAGGCTAGAGAAGAGAAACCCTGGGGGTGTGCATCTGCCAGTGCCTCGGGAGCATGGTGTGGCAGGGTTCAAGGGTGCCTGGTGTGGCAGGATTCAAGGGCGCCTGGTGTGGCAGGATTCAAGGGCGCCTGGTGTGGCAGGGTTCAAGGGTGCCTGGTGTGGCAGGGTTCAAGGGCGCCTGGTGTTTGGCATCCCTGTGCACATAGCATGGCCGGGATTTTGCCGAGCTGGCCTCTTCGCCTGGCATGCCCTGTCTGTTGCTACTCCGGCCCAAATGTAACAGCCACCCCAGAGGCTTAGCAGGAGACCCCCAAAAGGCCCAGAGGGAAGGGTGTCCACAACCTTGGTGTGGAGCTCCACTGTCTCCTGCAGTGGACTCAGGGACAAGTTTGGTTCCTGTGTGCCTCTCCCACAGAGCCAGCTGCACACTTATGGGGGAAAGGGTGCATGGATTCTTGCTCAATGACTGGGAAGACTGTGGTCCCCAGTCCGCGGGATCATCTCTCTCATTTCTCACTGGATCTGCTCCCTCTCATCCTTCAGGTGTCAGCTAAAAACCACCTCCTCAGGGAACTTGACTGTGTCATCCTAAATTAAAATCAGCTCTCCCCTCCCCGTGTCTCCCTGACAGCATCCCGTTTTCTTCCTTCATGGAACACATCACCATTTGCAGTTCTAATCTCATTTGTGACTTTGCTTGAGCATTAACTGTCTTTCCCTCCGTTGGATAGTGGCCCCAGGGCAGACAGGGCCATGGGGTCTTGTGTGCCACACAGGTAATTGCAGGGCTGTGAGGGGTAGGAACCAGGCAGGGACACAATGTGGGGAAGCACAGGGCCCAGCAGGTGGGGGTCAGGGGTCCCCTTGGGAGCTGGGCTGGAAGGAGAGGCAGGGCTGGGGAGGCAGCTGGGTGGGGACAGCAGGAGCTAAAGCGAGATTCTTGGCAGAGGAGCAGGAGCTGGCACAAAAGCCAGCTGTAAATTACC